ATCTGTGCTGTAACCGCGATAGCTTTTCTCGACGCTAAAAATAGAAAGCCAGAAAAAGGAAAGGAGCGGACGAGCTAATCTCGCCCTACTGGCATGCACACAGCACGCCATGATATGTTGCATGCAGGGATGAGCTCGGGAGGATTACTTTCCAAGACGAGTTCAACGCTATCTCTATCAGAAAGGTACTCACCGGCTCCACGGTCAGCTCGCGGAAGCAGTGCACACTGGCAAACGGCGGTCGGCGGTGAAGTCGACCAGTCGTGGTACTCGAGGATCACCAGCACCACGCGCCGCTGGAGGTGGTTCGCTGTCACGAACAGCGGCAGGATGTCGTCGTTGAACTCGTGGTACACGTTGCCCTATATCAGCCGCTCCTCCTCCGTCGTGGAGTTCCGAAGCAGAGACGTGCGGTCGCAGCAGAGGCTGTCGTTCCCCACGCAGAAGGAGAGCAGGAGTATGGCCAAGAAGCGCCGCAGGCCGAGCGCCATGGGTTGCACCGGCTTGCCGTTCTAGCCGCCGCCGCTGCCGTAGTCCTTGGGCTGCGACACATTGCATTGCATGCCACCTCCGGCGCGTGCTCCAGGAGCGGAAGTGGGAGGAGGCGGCGACGGTGCTCGACGGGGAGGCGCGCGCGGCCAAAGGAGGGGTTGCGGTGGCAGGAGAGGAAGGAGGCACACCACTGATGCTGGACCCGAGCCCCGCGGCAGTGCGCGTTGAGACCGCCCGCGGCCACGGCGAGCAGCTTCCACACGTGCAGGCACTTGGCAGCGAGAAAGAAAAAAGGATAGGTTTTTTTTTAGAAGTTGGCAGGCTCCAGCGTCCAGCTACCACTGTGGCATGGCCACGTCAGATCCTAGCGCTGGTGGGGTAGGTTTTGGAGCTCGGGTGCATGGCAACAATAGATGAAGAACTCAGATATAGGGGTTCTATAGTCGCTCATAAAATTCATATCACATCGAATATTTATATACTAATAAGAAGCATTAAATATAGATTAATTACAAAACCAATTACATATATGGAGGCTAATTTACGAGACAATTTTTTAAGCCTAATTAATCTATCATTAGCACATGTTTACTGTAGCACAACGTTGTCAAAACATGTACTAATTAGGCTTAAAAGATTCGTCTCACAAATTAGTCGCAAGTTGTGCAATTAGTTTCATAATTAGTCTATATTTAATACTCCATGCATGTGTCAAACATTCGATGTGACATGAATTTTAGAAGGCACTGCAAGAACCAAACAGACCCATACTCTCTTTTTTAGTTTGAGGACCAGATGGAACTGCTCCAAAAGTTTGAGAACCCAGCGTGCATTTTACTCTTTTTGATACATTCATTTTACTATACATCTAGATAAATAATATGCCTAGATACATAGTAAAATAAATGAAACAAAAAGTCAAAACAACTTATAATTTAGAACACGGGTGTAGAAATTATATTCTAATGTATATTTTTTTAAAAAATATATTTTTGTTTAACCACAATTTAAGTGTCTTCTCGCTTCATTATCCACCTATTACATCTTTTCATATCTTGGTTTACCTTTAGATATAGAGGGTGTTCCCTTGAGCCAAAAACAGCAGCTGCGTGGAACAGCTTGCTGAGGAATAGTGTAATAGTTTATTGTCTACGAGACCATTTTTTATCTCTCTTTTTTCGTTCCAATATTATGTTAGTATTTTCCTTAGTTAACATCTTTGTAAATTGTAATGAATATAGAAGTCATCCTAGCTTTAGCTTTTGGGTTGGCAAATCCTGAAACTAAAGGAGCCACAAACACCGCACCAACTCCTCTCCTAACAATTCAGAGCGACGATGGCTTCATTCGCTTGGCTGAAAAAAAAAAAAATAAAATACTATTTCAAATGATTTGTTATAAAAAAATATTATTTTAATAAAAAAACAAGTTGAAAAATACGAATTATAAGCAAACGAACGAGGCCCTATCCTCGAGACGTGGGACACTACTGTGGTACTGTTCAATATTCAATGCAGGCCGTCGTTTTCGGTGCAAAAGCTCTCAACGTAACAGCAACTTATTTAAATGCTAAACAGGCCTATTGTCTGTGCAGTCGGTACGTACTTAGGTCCTGGAAATCTGAGATGCAGGGCGCACGAATCTGCCTGACAATGTAATTGACTCTTCTCTACTAACTTGCTGACAAAGCAAGAAATTTAAGGTTAAACTAGCTTGATAGCTATGTACCCTATTAACTTTCTGTCGTGACAAAGCATCATTCAAATTTGTGATTTTTGTACGGATTTATGTACCTTAGCTTCTTTTGACTAAGTACCTGCACACCATCTTTTTTTTTAAAAGGACGACAAAGTTTTGTCATAATTTTTTTATTAACAGAAAATATAAAAAGAGTGTAAGTCTATTTTTTGAGTGACAACTGACGAACGCCCAAAACCACCCAGACTAAAATACAAAGATCAGTAGCTCAAGCAGAAAGGCCAACTACTAAAACTTTACCTTCTTCATTCACTTAACACTGACTCTACCAACAACTTGAACAACACACACTTAGCACAACCTGAGAAAAACTATGGACCTCAATCAAGTGACTAAAAGCTAAAAGAAAAACGGAAGCCAAGCCCGATTTTGTCCCCTAGGTGCTTATTATAACAAAATACTATTTTTAAGGGCTTTTTCATGTTTACTTTTTTTAGTGGAGTTTTTTCATGTTTACTTCCATCAAAAACAGTTTGCAACCGATGTGTTTTCCGATGGAACACGTTTGGCCACGTTTTCAATTCATGGAGAGTTTGACTCTAGCTGGCGCGTGTCAGAGTCTCACCTGCTCCCCAGATAACAGGTCCATCAGTCCAAGCTGTGAGCTGGACACCCCCTTAAATAAATTTTTTCGTTGTACTACAACCCAATTGGGTGGCAGCTCGAGTCTTCGGCTCTTCGCGGCACCGGTCTAGATGCACCTCTCAGTTTTTTCTTTCTTCTTCTATCGAACGAAAGAAGCCAAGAACTGGCTCTACGCAGCCGTCGTCAGTCCCTCGTCGCCTTTTGTGCATATATAAGCAATTCAGCACGATTAATTTGCAGGGACCATGCAATCAGCATTAGTAGCCCACTTCCATTTTTTTTAACGCAACATTGGGATTCATTCGTTATCGGTTACGTCATGATACAACCCTCTCGCTGTGTGATATGCTGGAATACATGACTTATGCTGACAACTGGATGCTCCAAATTATAAGATGTTTAAACTTTTTTATACATTGTTTTTGCTATGTATTTAGACGTACGCTATATCTAAGTGCATATAAAAAGTTACGAACCTAAAAAAACCAAAACGTATTATAATTTGGAATAGAGGGAGTGGTATTTTTAATTGTTGATGTACATCTTAGCATACGCGCATCAAATTAATAATCAAAGAGAAAATTGTTGACCAGTAATGGTAATTAGAAATTAGTAATGACACCTTGATGTATGCCATGCCTACTTGCTGACTATTGTCTTTGGGGCAAATTGGCAACATGTAAAGCACCACGAGCTCAAGTTCATTTATAATCAAGTCAGCAACGGGTATAATCTTCAAATTGTCCATTTCAGCAGCAAATGCACGTAATTTTGGAAGGGCGGCCATGGAGCCATCTGCATCCTCCACAATCTCACATAGAACAGCAGTAGGAGCCTAGGAGGTAAGTTGTGATTCAAATTTATGAGAATAAATAGATGGCGACGACCGCTTAACTGACGCAATGCTGTGCTCCTTACGTGCTCAATCCATTGCGTGTGTAGTGTAAAGCCACATGCTGCCATCTGTGCAGCAGAGTGCAAATGTCATTCACTGGAAATGCAAGGCGAGTGGTATTGAAATATACAGCATCCTCACTTCAGCTTAGGATTCAAATTGACATTTTACACATGGAAATTGAACACTTTTGTCTATTACTACCATTTTATCAGCATTCAAAAGCATGGAACCCTTTTTTTCTTCTTTGCTCACACTGCCACGTTCTAAATAATAGCACAATATCGAAGATAAGTAAAGGCAAAAAAAGCTTGTGCCCATTGACCCCTTGATAACACTACTGCAGAGCCACTCGCCAAGAGATTCTCTTCCCAAATTCACGGTAAGATTTGCTGACCGGAATTTAACGGAGGGGTACGTGGGCTGCCGCATGGGCTTACGTGATACAGTCTATTAGGCCCATTTATCTTTCACGATTTTTGCCTTCTGGTTCACACTTCACGTGTTTCTATGGTAATTTCGTGTTTTTCCAATTTTTTTCTTGTTCACTTGTTTGTTTAATTTATTGGATAAGCACTTCGTTTGATTGGCTAATTTCTGAACCACAGTTGTGAGTGCTTCAGAAGCTATTTTTTTAGGCTCCCAGCATCATAGTTCAAGAATCGCTTCACATAGAGTCACTTCTTTGGAAAAGCCTATTTGACATAGCTGCCCTAATTTCAGCCTAGAAGCTGCTATGAAAGGTCGGTCTGCCAAACAAATCCTAACAAACTCCTCTGTTATTCTGTGCTCTTCTCTCTTGTCTTCCTCCTCGGCTAGCATGTCCCTCCAGGTCCACCTTTCATTGAATGAGGAATACACCAAAGTCTTCCGGGCAAGCCATGCAGCAGCAGAAGTGGAAGGATCGGCATGCCTAGAGCTTCTGCTTTGCTCCCCTCTACACGGCACAGAGGGGAGCAGAGCAGCAGCAAAGAGTGATGAGAGATTGTAACAGGGATGCACATGACTGGTGTGACTTTTAGACTTCGTGTGTGGAGTGTCAAAGGCCACCTGGGATTGCTGAAACAATTGCCCATGACTGTAAACACCCCCAATTCAGTCAATCAGTAAATCTCTCTTTGCCCTAAAAAGAAAGAGTAGAAGACTACGAGAGCAAACAGTTTGACAGAATATCATAAATATAAGCTAACCATTCAGTTGATGTTGTATCTGCAAATTCTGCCTTTTTATTTGCGGATTACAAGAAGAAGCAAGTATTTCGGCCCATTTATCACGATGAATGTGGTTGCGCTTCCTCGAGCTTCAGTACAGGTTTCTTCTTACCCTCGGGCATCTCATCAATTTGGCGCTGCAAGTCTTCCTTGAGTTCGTCACCATAGGAACCCCTAAGCCACACTTCATTGAGACCAAATAGATACTGTAGCCCAGAAACCTCCAAAGATGACCCACTAGAGCAGCGAACAATCAGCAGCTCAACATACATGTTCACCCAGTGCCCACAAGTTACGTGCAACCTGCAGCTGCAATCAATCTCGAGGACCCGGACTCTGAACTCTTTCCCAGACCAATCACGACGCTCGCGGGAACCATCTTCCAGCTTACCAACATGTAGTTCGCCATCTTCAGTCGGTTTGACACAAAGACGATGGAAGACATCTCCACATCTTAATTCTTCAATGACGTCTATTTCCTCTTGCGTTACTACAGTCATCTCAAGGTTACCCTTTTTGAGATTCTCATGGTGCATGATCCAGCTTGGCAATATCTGTACGTGCCCATACAGCTTAAGGCTATTCAGGGTCATTGGTGCCTGTGTGATGTCATCTAGGCGAGCATAGACACCCTCCTTATCATTATTGACCTGAACCGACAAAGACTCGAGATGGGCATGACCTGAGATGACAGAACACAGGTCATGCCAGTTTTCCCGACTGACACCGCACACCCCAAGCTTTCTCAACTGTGTAAACTTCTTGAGCTCCTTCAGGCTGGCCTTACCACCTGCCACATTGACATCTACAACACCAAGAGTATGTAAGGCCGCCAGTTCCCCAATCCCTGCAGGAACCTTGACACCGCCATTATCAAGTCGGCGTGTGCGGCAAAACTTGGACAACCAGCTTGATACCGAACTACGTGGCATGCAGCTCGTTGAATGTGTTGATGTCTGAACATCACCTGTTTGTGCATGCATGGTTGCGGCCGTGCCATCATCACCATCCTCCAGTGGTGTGGCTGTCCTGTCTACGCCTGCTGCTGGTAAGCTTGCAACAGTCTCATCATATTCATCAGACGATGATATAGTATTTCCAGCACGGACATATTGCAACTTCTTTAGCTTGACGATAGCCCGTGGCAGCATGACTATGAAGGTGTATCTGACATCTAGAGTCTGCAGCTGGCTCAGGCCACACAAAGATTCTGGCAGCCGCCAAATATTCTTACATCTTCGTAGAGAAAGGAACTTGAGGCGAGGGAGAACCTTCCCAATCTGCTCAAGGTCATCAACTGTTATACCAGATGCATCTTCCAAATCTAGCACCCGAAGCAGTCTCATATCTGTTGAGATGAAGAATGGCATCCACTTCCCAAACACTGTCAATGACCGTAGACGTGACAAGTCCATGCTTGTAAACACTGTCATGTCGTCCCTGTCCCAGCTGCTCCTTATGGTGAGATGTTGCCCTGCACGTTCTGAGTTCAGGCTGCAATTCCTCTCCAGTGCGAAGACAAGGTTATCTTCCAGTGGTCGTGAGATGATGTATTCATGGAAAAAACCATTTACTTGGCAGAGGACCTTGCTTGTTTTGTGCTGGATTATGCTCAAGTCGACGAGTTCAGAGATCAGCTTCTCCCCATTCTCCTCTGCTGTACCACGAGATGTGTCTCTAGAGTAGCATTCTGCGATCCATCTTCTCAGCAATCGCCTTCGCCTAATGTTGTGTCCCCTAGGGAAGATGGATAGATAGAAGATACATGGCTTGAGTGAATCCGAGCAAGCATCAAAGTAGGACTGCATCCATGAAAGTAGACCCCTAAAATTATCAGGTTTTGTTTTCTCAAACACCCAATGACGTTTACTATAGGTCTCCAAGTTGCCCATAAAATGATCATTTAGAACCTCAAGAAATTTGGTACCCATATATGATCTTATGTTTGCACCTATTATTTCAGCAATACCAACAATAACTCCAGGAATTCCACCGCACTTGGCCAAGATAAGTTTTATAATCTCCATAGCATCGGCCTTAAATTCTTTGCTGCTCCTATTTATCTGAAGTCAAGAGCTCAGCTAATTAAGTTCTAAGACATAAGAAAGTTATTTTTTGAAACCATTATAACTTGAACATTGGATTAACCTCTAGAATAATTTGGTTCAATCTCATCACAAAATCATGCAGAAGGTTTGATTTACCAATGGAAAAAATATCCAAACTTTTCATTCAAAAGAAATTCAAACCTAGCTAGTGACACTTCGTTATAGACTAAACTCTAGAGAACTGAACAATCTATTTGAAATTCCAATGGAAAATATATCTGAAATTCAATGGAAAATATATTTGAAGTATGAGATTTTTTTTTTCTACATTTCAGTTGTGTAATGCGGTAAAACTATGTCATAGTTCTCATTTTCTGAATAATGAAGATGTTGTGCAAGATGTGAAAATGCTAGAATTGAGCAATATGATGGTGATTATTTTGTCAAGTCTAGTTCGGTTATGGAGTGTGACCAATTTTAAGTAAAAATTTTCATTTAACATTTTGCAATGCAGAGACTAGATTTGGTTAAGTACAGCACAGAATTGGTTGCATGTATTGATCAGCATGATATTTGTTGTTGCGATTGAGTGCGCTCAGTCGGTCAGATTTCTTGTCGTGGAACAGGTTCACGCAGTTTCCAAAATTTCAAGGCAGGCTGTGCCGCTGTGTATCAATCGATGACCGAAACACCTATGATGTCCTTCAGTTCAGCCTCTCCGGATGGAGATCCCCGTTGTTTTTGCGAGTATGTGTTTTGTAGGGTTCAAACCTGAGAGATCCCTCTCGGTAAGTAGCCTCATTGCCATCTCACACATGACTTCTTGCCTAGGGCTTTGTTTAGATTGCAAGTTTTTTCACTCTCTCTCCATCACATCAAATCTTTGGACACATGCATGGAGTATTAAATGTAGATAAAAAAATAACTAATTACACAGTTTGATTGTAAATTACGAGACGAATCTTTTGAGTCTAATTAGACCATGATTGGACAATAATTGTCAAATACAAATGAAAGTCCTACAGTGTCAAATACTGATTTCTAACGTCAATCTAAACAAGGCCTAGATAAGAGATCCTTTTTTTCTCGCACTAGATGCTATTTTTATCCATCTCTTACAACATTTTATTGTGTATTTGGTGCTCTAAAAGAATTTAAATGAAAAGTTGTTACTTCAAAGTTGTTACCTCAAAGGTGTTAACTTAGAAAAAAAAGAAGAAGTCCTCTGATGCAACGGAAGGGCGACGGGAGCATGCTCGTGGAGCAGGTAAGCCGCGTCCAACGAGCCAAGCTGAGCGGAGGGGAGTATGGTTAAGGGCTATTTGGAATAGCTCCACCTTTAAAAAAGTGAATTTGGATCTAGGATTCACATAGGAGCATTTATACCGGTAGATCTGAGATCCAACGTGGAACCATTTGGCTACACAACTAGCTCCAGATTCAGGCAAGGGCATTTTGTTTGAAATGACCTGATTTGCCCTTGGGATAGGGGCCCCACGCGTTAGGGGGTAAAACAAAAAAAAATCTTCCGTCTTCTTCGGATCTACGCAGCTGGACGAGCGACCATGGTAGGCGCCGGTGATGGGCGCGGCCTTGCCAGGGGCGCGCGGACTCACCGGTGGCGGGCGCGGCCTCACCGGGGGCGGGCGGGCGCGCGGCCTGGGAGGACGCGTGCCGAGGGCGGCGTGGCTGCTAGGTCGGCCGGAATCACCCGAGCGAGCGCGGCCCTCGCCATGGCGCATCGTCGGAGTCATGAAGAAGGTCGGGGAAGAAAGAAAAGAAACGAACCGGTACGATAGGGGTATGTAACCAGTGGTAGTGGTGGGTAATTTTTCCCAACTCTACCAATTTGAGTTTGGTGGAGCACCTCTTGAGGAGCTCCACCAAAATGGTGAATCTGGCCCTTAGATTCACCGTTTTTGTGAATCTAGATTTCATGAAGCTAGACCGTTTGGGTAACTTTTCATGGAGTGGAGCTGTTTGGTGAATCTGGAGCTAGTGGAGCTGTCCCAAACTTAAAGTGAGCATCACCGGGCACTAACAATAGGACTGGTAAGCTTGAACGGGGAAAGAATGCTATTATATACAGCACGAAGTGTTCATAGAATGTAATTTTACTACTAGAAAAACAATTTTAGGAGACAATCTCTGAAGATAGGCGCATCTAGCGACTGTCTCCGTAAATGGTCAAAGGGCCTATGGAAAAATGCCCGCCTCTAAAAATCATTTATAGTGGTGGGCGTCCTAAGATGATCGCCTTTATAAATTAATTTTTAGAGACGGATATCTTAAAATTTCCGTCTCTAAAAATCGGTATTAATAGAGGTGGCCATTCTAAGCTTTCGTCGCTAAAAATTGACTTTTAGAAACGGGTATTTTAAGATGGCCGTCTCTATAAATAGTTGCATCAAAAAATAATTCATAACATTTTTCATATGAATTTGGATGAAGACAAACTTTATATCAAAATTGTAGCCCTCGACGTAATCTACAACTTTGTAGTTGAAAATATTTTGATTTTTTTGAAACTGTTTAGAGTCCCAAATTAAGATTTTCAAACAACCTGGATGTTGACATGGTCTATGCCAAAGCGATAGTTCTTTGCAAATGCTCCAAGCATCACTCATCTCCTGTTCGCAGATGATGATGATTCTTTGCTTCTCATGAAAGCAACTGAAGAGAATGCAAGACATCTATGACAAGTGCTACATTTATATGAGATATGCTCGGGGCAAATAATTAATAAGGATAAATCATCTATTATGTTTAGCAAAAATACAAAAGCACATGATAGGAGAAATTTTATGGATGTGGTGGAATTAACACAGGAATCGATGAATGACAAATATTTGGGTTTACCTGTATACATGGAGAGATCAAAGGCCAGTATGTTTTTCTATCTGAAAGAGAGGGTTTGGAAGAAAATTCAGGGGTGGAAAGAAAAGCTCCTGTCAAAAGCCGGGAAGACCTTGATCACAGCTGTGGCACAGGCGATACCCTCTTATGCTATGTCATGTTTCGATCTGACAAGTCGCTATGTGATGACATGAGCCAGATGATTTGTAGATTTTGGTGGGGGCAGCAAGATAAAGAGAACAAAATGCACTGGGTCTCTTGGGAGAAGATATGTCAGAGGAAGGAGAAAGGAGGGCTTGGGTATAGAGATCTGCACCTTTTTGGCACGGCGGGGATGGTGCTTAATACAAAATCCGGACTCCTTGTGTGCCCAGATTTAAGGGCGAGATATGGTGCAGGTGGTTCTTTACTTGAAGCTAATGAAGGGCCAGGAATTTCTTACACCTGGCGAAGCATAATCAGAGGCTTGCAGGCCTTGCAGAAGGGGCTTGTATGGAGAGTTGGAGATGGAAGTAGCATAAGGATTTGGGACGATCCTTGGATAGGCCATGGGGTTACCAGGCGTCCAATCACTCCACGTGGGCAGACTCTGCTAACTCATGTGGAGGAACTGATGGACCCAGAAACGGGACGGTGGGATGAACAAACCGTCCACGATATTTTCTGGGAAGAGGATGTCCTGCATACTTTGGCAACACCAATGAATCCTAGGCATGAAGATCGCCTGGCCTGGCACTTTGACCAAAAAGGTATGTTCTCGGTTAAATCGGCGTATCATGTGCTAGATGATGACAAAGAACGTGCATAGGTTTGGCAAGAAGGCCAGAGCAGCTCGAGCAATTCTTCTGCTGAACGGACAAGCACGCTTTGGAGCAGGATATGGAGACTACAAATTCCACTAAAGCTGAAGCACTTCTTGTTGTGCCTAGCCTGCAACAGCCTAGCGCTCAAACTAAACATTCAGAGGCAAGGGATGACACTAGACACTCGATGCCCTGTCTGTAATAGGCTTGACGAGGACGGCGGGCACTGTTTCCAGAAATGTAAATTTGTGAAGCACTGTTGGCTTGATCTCCAACTGGAGCACGTTCGACAGAAGCTACTAATCAAACCATCAGCGTGGGATGTGGTCGAGCAAGTGCTGCATCTAGACTAGGAGCATCGTGTGAAAACTGTGATCCTGCTATGGAAGTGGTGGAGCTTCCTAATCGGGTGAATCATGGAGAGAGGGGTCTGACAAGAGGAGAGGTCGTCGGCGAGGTCCTGAAGTTCATGAGCGAACTCATAGGGCAGGAGAAGAATGCACCGAAATTGACAACAAGAAGAGAGCAGCGTTGGCCGTGCTCCACCACCGGACCTCTTGAAGATTAATATTGACGGCGCTTTTGTTCATGGGACGCTAAAGGGCGGCTGGGGCTTCGTTTCCAGGGATCACCAAGGTGAAGCCATCATCACTGGGGCGGGCTGGCTTACTGCAGTGCTGGACGTGGTGACCACTGAAGCGTCTGCGTGCGCTAAAGCCTTGCAGGCAGCAACAGACCTTTGGATCTCTCGGATTCAGCTTGAGATGGACTCATCGATTCTACAACAAGCTCTCCTCACATCGTCTATGGACCTAGCGGCTAGCGGGGATGATGATCAGGGATACTCGGGATCTCCTACGACAACACTTCTTTTGTAACGACGTTATTCTTATTCCTGGATCCTGTAATTCAGTAGCGCATGAGCTAGCTAGTCTGGGGATGAGTTGGGACCCAGGTGAGTCTTGCATTTGGACAAACCCCCTCCAAGAATTTGTAAAAAGTTTGGTAGCTCATGATTCCGTCGAGCCTTTGGTTTCAATAACAAGGCCATAGAGTCAGCTTTGAAGATAAAGAAAGGTGTCAATGTTAAATTGTAGGTTGTAACACATCAAAAAATGGCTCGGAAGAGGGCCAAGCCGTCCCCCTCTACCCTCTGCAGACAGCGTTCCTCTCCCTGGTATGCTTCTTTTTTTCTCCTATCTGACCTCCCTCTTCCTATAGCACGTCCCCTTCCTCTTCCGTGCACCTATCCCTCTCTAGCACGTCCTCTAAATCAGCAATAACCAAGGGAAAAGAGGGGAAATGGATTGAAGAGGAGGA